TTTTTTTTTTTTTTTTTTTTTTTTTTTTTTTTTTTTTGTGGGTGAGATGGCAGTACCAAGTTGACACCTCATGGGGAAACTATAGTGGGCCCTCTGGGTGAAAGAGTCAGTGGCAGAGGGGATTGTTCCTTATAACTGCATATGCTCTTGCAAAATAACATTTTTAGATCAAAAAAAAAAAATGAACACTTGTTCCAGGAGCCTCAGTTGTCCCTTGACCCTAACTAGGTAAACCCTTGCAATGTACCACCAGTTTGAGGGGATAAGTTATGGGTACTCTCCTTGGTAAAAAGGCCTGCCACCTTTTAGTTTCTCTTTTTAATCTTTAGCCACTACTGTGGTGCTTGTTGTAGGAGCCACTCCAGTCCCAGTCTACCTCCTGGGGCAGACAAGCTTCTTTGGCGTAGATGCGTGATTACCTTTTTATGAGACTTAATAAACAGCTGGGCAAAAAGTGTTCTGTGCAAGCTTTCCGGCACAGGGGGTGTTCAATGCCTCAACTTGTATGTTGTGGGGCGGGGGGGGAGCATTAGGCTGAGGGACTCAGCTGCAGGGCAGTCCTAGACCCTCACAACTGGCCAAAGTCTTGCAAAATAACACTTATGTTTATTAAATAAAACACCCTCTTCTCGGTTAAACTACACGCTGCCTGGGTTTCATTCTGGGTCCGGCGGTTGCAGCAGCGGCCGAGCTTCTAGCCGCAGTTCAAGCTCGGGGCACGGAGCGGGTACCCCGCCCAGGGCTCGGAGCACTAGCTGCGGCGCGGAGGGCGCCCCCTCTTGACCGGGCCTTGCCGGCGGCGCGGGGGCGGGGCCGCTGCAAGGCGCCGGCGCGGGCTCTGCGACCCGGAAGGCGGAGGCGGGCGGGGCTGGGGCTGGGGCTGGGGCTGCCACGTTGAAGCGCTGCTGGGCCGGGCCGCAGTCGCAGCAGTAGGAGCCGGTGCTTCGCTTGGGCCAGGTGAGGAGTGGGGGCTGCTGCTGCGGCCCGGCCTGGCTTGGCTTTGTCTCGCCTCCCAGCCACCGGCCTGGGCAGCAAGCACAGGGACCCCCTGCCCCCCACCCCTTCTTGGTGCCCCTCAGCCTCCTGCAGCGCTGCGCATCGCATGGGAGCGGGCTGGGGCAGGGAGGTGCCCTCGAGCCCTGCCTTGAGGGTCGCGGCTGCAGAAGGGGTGGCAGTGCTGAGGAAGGAGGGTGTCTCCCCCCCTCCCACTTTTGCAGCAAGCAGTACCACTGGGAGCTCCCCCACTGTTGGCTTTGCGCTGGTTTGGCCCCAAAAGCAGGAAGCATTGCTGGTGTATATGCCCTGAGAAGCGCTGAGTCGCTGGGGACCAGGCTGTCCGTCCGCTCCTCCGATGCCTGTACTAAGCTCTGTCGACGGCACGGGGCCCAGTGCCAACATGGCATTCGGGAGGTTTGTCAGGCCAGATTTTCATTGCCCTGGGTGGCAATTTCAGGATGCGACTGGGAAGAAGTTATTTCAGGACCAGGCTTTGGAACAGGCACCAGAACACATCCACTCCATAGGCTGGCTTCCAGCCTGCTCCAGGGTACTAAAGGGCTAGTATGATTTAACCTTTTGTTCCAGTTCTCAGCAAGCCCTCTGTCTGAGGGTGAACTCTGCCACAGCTCCTGGATGAGTCTTAAAGCAACTGTGAAGAGTCCGGTCCTCGAGCCATAGATTTGTCTATAGAAGTTTGCAAGAGAGAGCAGGCTGTAGGAGGGAACAGGTGTTTTGTTGTATTTTCTTCAAGAAGGGCAATTGGTTCATCAGTCAGTAAATGTACCACTTGGGGTCTGTGTGGTTGTCATGATCTCTCTGTTAAGGGACACAGTACACCCTGGTAGAGAGTGAGCAGCCATCTGCCCAGTATAGTTACAGGCCAGGTAAAAATAAGAGGAGGATTTATACGTGCTTGTTGTTATGAAGGGATACAACATATAGAAAAATTCTGTGTTTTAGGATTCTTATCTTATGTCCTCTAGATAGACTACTCACACTGCTCTATCTCCCAAATCTTCCAGATGCACTTTAGGGCCTTATGTGCTTGATACCAAGTAATCACCTTTTCCTTTAGTATTTCATAGAGTGACTGCAGCCTTGGACTTCAGTCCTTTTGAATCCATCCATAGTCTTCTCTGCCCCAGTGAGTTGGAGCACACTTGGTTCAGGGCCAACCTGCCAACTGAACTGTGTCTACTGAAGTTTGGAAAGTGCTCCTGCAGCTTATATCCCAGGTTTCCAGCATGACTCCCTTGTAGTACTGAGTGAATGGGAGATACTCTAGCACAGCAGTTCTCAACTATTTGCCCCTTGCATTCCACCAGCCATTTTGTCAAAAATCCTGGTCCCACCATGATAAAAACAAAACCCCACTTTTTTCAAGAAGTGTATTTTTTTTCTTTTTATGTTTACATGCATTTTAGTATTATATTAATCATTAATAGAAACTTTTAAAGACATTAAAAGTCCTACCTACACAACCTTCACGTCCCACCAGTGGGACATGTTGGTTGAGAAACACTGTTCTAGCACATGCACCAGTATCTCTAACAGCTCAAGGCAGCTCTTTGTAGAGATACTTGACTCACCTCTGTACACCCATGATGCAGAACTAGAAGCAGTGTAGCCATATTAGTGCCTTGCTGTACCCTGCTTCTCAGCCAGGATGATTATCCTTAGTGCTAATATGGCTGTATTACTTCCCATTCCAGAGCCAGGGCCTGCAGTGCTAGTTTAGGTACCTCTTTGTGGCATTACCTTGTGCTGCACAGGGATAGGGATGGTGGAAACTCATAGGGTACCTCTGGGTTGATGTGGCATAAACCGTAAACCTTTTGACACTGTTCCATAGCTAAGAGTAGAATGAAGATCTGCAAGGAAGTATCCACAGGAGACACAATTACTGTTGGCCTTCCAGTTTGCTTATGTAGATAAATGCAATTTGTTAAATTCCTTTTGAGATGTTACAAACTAACTTGATAAAAATATTCCCTTTAAAGAATACACAATTCATATGAATGACATAAGGAGTTACCAGGAGCACAGCTGGAAAGACCTTTTGTCTTGAAATCATCTGAAAACACCCAAGGCAGATTATTATGTGCAGTATGTTCTGTTTAAATGCATAGCTTTGGGACTGAAAAAAAGATTTTGTGCTTAGCCTGGAGTATTCACTTATTCAGGCTAGATGTAAACTGACCCCAGCAGGTACCCTGTACTGTCAGTGCTGAGTTATTGACAGCTGTAAAACTGGCTAGCTCCTGTCATTTTTTTTCAAGGCTTCTAATAGCAGTCCTATTACAGCTGCTTCCCTTCCACATTTCTGTTAATTGGAGTTGCATCACAAAGAAGACAGCAGGGCTTGAAAAGATGGACCACACTTGCATAATTTATACACTCAACTGGTATACAAATAACCAAATTATGCTGTATGCATATCATGCTGTATTCCTGCTTATCCTGTATGCAGGTAAGTAGAGTATACAGTACATACTTCACTTAGTAGATAGAGTTTCTAGTATTATAATCTGGGTCTATGTTGTCAGGACAGATGGAGAATTTTCAAGACTCAAGTAAAAATAGAATCAGATCCATTATCTAAGCTTAAGGTATTGAATTTGTGTATTTGATCAATCAGTCGAGTCTGACCTCTGCCCTTGGCAGAAAAGAGTGCTGAGATCAGATCACCCCAGCCAGGTGTTTTTCCAGTGCCTTCTTAAAGACCTCCAAAGTAGGGGAGAGCACCACTTCACTTGGAAGCTTATTCCAGTTTCTGGTAACCCTTACCATAAAGAAGTTCTTCCTAATGTCTAGTCTAATTTTGTCCCCTCTCAGTTTGTGGCCATTTTATAGTTTCATAGTTAATAGGGTCAGAAGGGACCTGAGCAGATCATCAAGTCCAACCCACTGCCATGGCAGGAAAGAGTACTGGGGTCAAACGACCCCAGCAAGGTGATTGCCTAGCCTTGTCTTAAAGACCCCCAGGGTAGGAGCCAGCACCACTTCTCTTGGAAGTTGGTTTCAGATCCTAGCCACCCTGACAGTGAAGTAGCACCTCCTGATGTCTAATCTGAATTTACTTTCTGCCAGCTTGTGACCGTTATTTCTAGTCACTCCTGTTAGTGCTTGGAGGAACAGGGACTCCCCCAATGCCTGCTGGTCCCCTCTGACTAGTTTGTAACAGGCCACTAGATCCCCCCTCAGCCTTCTCTTGTGGAGGCTGAACAGGTTCAGGTCCC